ATGGGGAAGCAAGCCACGCTTGGGGAAGGGGCGGTGGTGGGGAGCCCTCTGGGTGGCCCAGAGAGTCAGGGGGCCTTGGCAGGAAGTCAGGGGGCCAGGCCCCAAAATACCCCACTGTAGCTACAGGCCTGGTAGCCGTATTGGTCTGAAGTAGCAGGTCTGAAGCTGAGATTGGATCAAGGCAGCAAGATCAATGAATGGCAGTAAATTAGCACACAAACCAGTCATTACTGTTCTCTTTGCAAGCAGCCATCCAACAGAAGGAGAGGCCAGGAAGGGCCCCATCCCCACTACAGCACCGACCAATAGCTGCATTGAATAGGCTGCATCATGCTGCTGTGCTCTGGGGTTGCCACCTCTCTTGACTGAGCTTAGCTCCTGCACCATGGCAAGCTACTCAACAGACATTTGTTTGACTAGTACAATGGCCCCTCTCTTGAGTGGGACAGCTTGACCTGGAACTCCACAGTTTGCCAATGCAGATCGCAAAGACATGGGAGCCTTGCTGGGATGAGACAGCTGGCAATCCCGATCATCTGATTTGCTCACAGTATTGCTGCTGATGTTCAATAAATGTGTGGGTGCTCTACAGCCAGGGCTCCCAAGTACTTACCTTAATTCGGCGGGGGATGTATAGTTCTTCACGGGACCATTCCTGTGGGGAAAACACAGGCGCTGCACTATTCCGTCGCCCAGACATGACGTAGGCATGTAGCCAGGTAACGCTCTAGCAATGGGGCTGGAAACTCGATGGTACCATCGAGTTTCCAGTCCCATTACCAGAGCGTCGCCCAGCTACGTGCCTACGTCACGTCTGGGCAACGGAATAGTGCAGTGCCTGTGTTCCAAGCAAGAATCTTCCGGCGGGGAAGCATGTGTCCCCTGCCGAAGCGTAGGTAGGTACTCAGGAATGCTATCTACAGCTGTGTCTCTTTTGGATTTGGCTTGGGTCCTCCCCACTGCTCATCTCTAACCACAGCTGAGGGGGTGTCCAAGGGGTACACAGGGGTGCTCTTACAAAGGGAAGAAGAAGAGCCCGAGTTTCACCTTCATCCAGATCACTGCTAGCCTTTGACAAACCCTGCCGCTTGTGTAGAGGGGTGGGCGTGGCCAGAGCAAGAGGACTGCCTGACTAATTGGGAGTTGGTGATAGGAATGAGCCCCTGCTGCAGGAAGGGGAAAGGGGTTTGCTTACCAAAATGATGGACACAGGGGGCAGCCAGGGGCCTTGGGTGCGCAATATTGCTGCTTTCCCCTGCCCTGCTCTAGATTAGGG